TTTTTGTTTTAATTTGCACACCTGTGCACAAGGGAAATAACTTAGGCACTTTCGAGATTTTTTTGTTTGTGTTGTTTTGTTTAATAGGGTCCCACAGCTTCATTGGGACTCCACAATAACAAAAACAGCCCCACCAATCAGATAGTGAAGCCTGTTATTAATGAAGCCGCAGATCCACACCCTTGGCCTAAACCCTAGCAGACTGAGGCTCTCTGGCACCGTGCCCTGCGTGATGTTTTCCTTCCTAAACAGAACACTGGACTCTTGCTGTTAACTTCACTTAGAGTAACTACAAAGGTGGACTCAAAGCAAAGCACAATCTCACAATGATTCCAGAATTCCCTAGAGACCTCTTAGACTATGAGGGAAGAGCACTCATAAGCAGGGCTACTGGGCAGGCTGCATCTCCCAGGCAACCAGGCACTGTGCTGGCCATCTTAGTGAGGCAGGCCATCACAACCTTCCATCTACCCCAATGATTCCCAAGATTGGATTTTCCTTTTCAGGATGCACTTTGCTTTTTTTTTTTTTTGTATGTTTTGTTATGTTGAGGTGTTTCTAAAGAGAAGAGTTTATGTAATTATAAGAGGAAGTGTAGTGAATTGTACAGCTGTTGTAATAATGACCTATTTCTATAAAAAATAAAATTGTATGGATTATGTGTAAATTATTTTGTATCTGAAATACCAGTTCCATTCCCAAATATGAAAGCATAAAGGTTTCCTTGTGTTTTTCTGTGAGTGAACATTTTGTAATAAATTAACAAGTTTATACAATTTCCTTTGTCCCTTGTTGTACGTCCATGCCTATGCCTCTTTGCTGGGAAACTTTAACATTTTTGAGCTGTTGAACGCTTTAGAGGTAAAGACCTTAGTCTGTTTTCTGTAACCATGATAAAGTAAGTGAGGCAGAGAATGTCACAGAAATGGGCTCAGAGTTCCAGAGATTTCACATGGTCACGGGGCACTGTTGCTCTGGGCCTGTGGCAGCCTCAAACATCATAGAATGAGTTCATGGCAGAACAAGACTGCTCACTTCAAGATGGTCAGGAAGCAAAGAAAGAGTAAGGGGCTGGGGTCCCAATAAAGGGACACTGCTAACAGTCTAACTTTATTCTATTAGCCCCCACATGCTATCAGGCTACACCTGGTAGCTGAGGCCCAGAGTTTCAACACATGGATTTTTGGGGGCCATGCAAGATCCAAACTTTAGTATGGTAGAAAGAAGCTAAACATTAACCAGTCCTGGAATGGAGTTTTTGAACTGCATCGTTCTGCCAAGTCCCTAAGGCTTAAAGCTTGTGACAGAAAAGCAATGTTTCTCGGAAGAAACAATAACAAAATAGTAACAGGAAAAAGTTGCTGGGAACAGCTCAATCTTGTGGACATAGGTAACCTGCAGAAATGATGGAGATATTCCCCACCAAAGCATTCATTCATTGCTGGCAATTGCTCTCAATCAGGACAGATCCGAAGGACTATCTCACTACCAACATGAAGACCAATGATACCTGCAAGGTAGGTGTGCCTATGTGTGGTATGTGCACACATACACAGCACAGCGAGATGTCTGAGGTCTTGGACACCTGCAATCATCTTGTTCATGAGGTTCAGCATACTAAAGTGAGGGTGCTCCAGTGGTCCTGGTGGTTTAGACTGAGTGCTTCCAAGTTCTTGTTCTCTTGTTCAAAGAATTGAAGAAGTACACACAAATAGTGAATTAGCAAGGGTCTTATTCAAAAGCAGAGTAAACATACAGACTAGATGCATTGCTATGAGAGAACAGCAAGTTCCAAGCAAGATTGTCCTGGGTTATTTTGCAAAGCTTCCTTTTATGGGCCCAGGAGGAGGGAGGAGTTAGTTGCCAAGGGGATGAGATGTGAGTGATTTTGTGTTTCCATTGATAGGCCTGGGTTATGTAACCCTTCATTCACTCAACATGTTCTTTATCATGATGCGTCTGATTTCAATCATAGGCATGTCCAATCATGCCCAGGCACAGGATAGTAAATAGATTTCCCCCAAAAAAGTTCACTCAATGGTTACCTCACTACGAATGTATAAAAAGCAGCCCAAGCTGAGTTGGGCTCACCCCTTGCAGTTCCAAGATATGTTCCAGCAAGTTTGACCACAAAAGGGGAGTCACCAGAGGTTGCTAGGGAGTTACTTGAAGGTATAAGAATTGACTAGCCACTTTGTTTGGAGAAGGTTGTGTGTGGAGCTCCATGCAGATACATGTCTCAGGGTGCTAAGCTGCCTCTGAAAACTACCTGCTCCTAAAGCAGTGGTTTAGGAGGAGCTCATGGTTTAGGAACCAAGATGCTGGTTGCATGGAGCTAAGTTCCTTCCAGGGCTCTATTAAGATAGATAGGTCTGTACTCTTGCCCTCTTCTGTGAAATGATGATGGCTCCTTCTTGTTTCTCTAGCTAGGATCCATTTTGGATACCATGAGGTTGAAACAGATATGCCCCCTCGATTGCTCTATCCCTAAGGGTAGAGGTGGAATGGGCAGGAAATATTTTTCATCCACTGAGAGAAACGTTTACTTTTTGAAAGAACTCAAAATGAACCCTGTTTTTAAAAGTCTGTATGGAACTTTGACCCCTCCCCTTTTTCTAACCTAACATCGTCTAAGGGTTAGAGATTGGGTTTTTCTGGAAACGAATTTATAGTTTAATTGTAGTCATACTTTAATTGATGGTTAGACTCCTAAGTGGAACAAGATTGTTACTGGACACAGTGTATTCATTATCCTAAGGTTGTCTATCTGGAAGCCATTAAAAGAGGGTGGGGTATGCTGTCTCCTAATTTAATTTAGCTCTGCCTGAATTTTGCACATGTTCAGAATTTGGGTTAACTCAAAAAACTATTATTGAGTAATTTTCCACTAAATGCATGCATCATGGGAATTGTAATCGCCGGCCTCTTCATTCATTAACTTTGCCCATTAAAAGGACATTTTGCAACCACATCTTTGTTCCAGAAAAACTATGAGCTTACTGTCTGGAAAAGTATAGAGTGTCTTGGCTCAAGAGTCAAGATTGAATGTGACCTCAGTTTAAGATACTACAAACTAACCAAAATTGTAGCATCTTCTGTCTCTAACAACTAAAATGTTGCTTGTACAAACAACATTGTTGTCATTGTTAGATAAGATTCCACTATGTAGCTCTAACTGGCCTGGAGCTCCTCATATAGATCAGGCTGGTCTGGAACTCACAGAGATCCACCTGCCTCTGCCTCCCACTCTGGAATTAAAAGTGAATGCTGCCAAACCCTGCTAGGTGAACCAACTAGTATTCAGTTCCTAGTCATGACTTTTGCACTCTTGCCAAAATGTCCTAGTAAAAATGTAGTGATATAAAATGACTTTAATTTGTGTTCATGCTGTAGCCTGAAGATCTCAAAGTCAGCCATTAATATACTGAAAAAAATCTAATTTGAGTCATCTAGAGAAATGTTGTTAGTGGTAAGAAGAACTTCATATTATGCAGATAAATAGCCCTGCTTTTCTGTAGAAAAGCTCATTAGAAATGAGGCAGGAGAAAATTTCTTTTTGAATTTTAGCTTAATCATTGATGGACGAATGTGCGAATGTGTCTAGTTTATTGGCTCCTTAAATTATTCCTGTTTTACTTTTAGTATGAAGCCAGGAACTCACAGCCTTTTTTTTTTTTTTTTTTTTTTTTTGGTTTTTGGAGACAGGGTTTCTCTGTGTAGTCCTTGCTGTCCTGGAACTCACTCTGTAGTCTAGGCTAGCCTCGAACGCTCGAACTCAGAAATCCACCTGCCTCTGCCTCCCAAGTGCTGGGATTAAAGGCGTGCGCCACACTCACAGCCTTTTATAAACTCAGCTTTTCTAATTAACTATTATTTATTAACCATGACTAATTATTATTTCTTGCTCAAATCAGGACTCTGACTAGCGGGCTCCTCTGACTTCCCAAATTCAAATTTTCATATTCTCTTTATCCCTTCCTCCCCCTTCCTTCCTCAATATCTACTCCCCCCTCCCCTCTCTTCTCTCTCCCACTCTCTTTCTCCTACTCTTGGATTTAGCGTCCTTGTGAAGCCAAGACTAGCCTCTGTGTAGCCCAGAATAGCCCTAGCCTTTGTATCCTCCTGCTCTGCCTCCTGACCGTATCGCTCCTGACTTCCTTTTAAAATATGTTTGAGTGTCTCTGCTTGGGAGATTGCTCTTGGAATTTTCTGAGATCAACCCCAGTACCAATCAGCACTCCCATCGAACTCCTTCTGGTTTGTACTTCTCTAAGAACTGGAACAGAGCCTGTACACTCCTTTCCTCCTAGCCCCACGGAGAAGTCATCAGATACTGTAAAGCATGTTTAGCCCACTATAGTCAAGGATACCTTGACCTCCCAATCACCTGATTCCACCTACAAAGTTCTGGGATCGCAGGCGTGCACCACCACACGTGCCTGTGATTTGGCGAAACCATATGCACAGCTTCCCTTAGCCAAAGGAGGTAGAGAGACCTAGATTCCTTGTGAGATCGTGGAGTGTCTGCCTGCTTGTCTTCTTACTTGTGAGATCCTGAAATTTGCCCCTTGTGGAAACCCCAATAGATAGGCTATTCCGACATGATTAGATTCGGAGATTATTCCCCCCGTACGGCAGTGCCACTTCCGTGGGCATTTTCGACTTGGAAAATAAGTTCTTTTGTTGTGGTCTCAGTCATTCCGGGGACCTTCCGCCAAGCACAGTACCCAACAGATTCAATAAATGTAGACTGAATGAACAAGTGAACACGGAAAGCTGAAGAGCGTCTTCTCTCCTGGCCGGACTCTTCGAATCTGTGTTCGCGTTCGGAATTAGATCCCATGCAGAACCTCCACGGTCCAAGGCAGACTGCAAAGACTGACAAGCGGGACTCCGCCCCGGCCCCGACCCATGCCGCTCGCCCCACCCCCGACGCGCGCCGTGTTTACGTCACAGCCTAACTCCAAACTTCCGTTCGCACACCTTTTCCTCCCCGCCTTCCCGTGACCCGGAAGTTGTAAAGCTACTTTCCATCCCACAATTCCTTGCGCCCTTCCTTTCCAACTTGGGCCCGGCAGAGTGAGTATGGTCGCGGGGACGTAGATCTGAAATCCAGCTCCATCCGCTTCGGGCGTGGGGCAGGCAGGCTCGGTGGGATTTATACCGCGTTGCGCGGAGGCTCTGCGGTTCGGGGCGGTGGGAGGACGGCCTGCCGGGGACATCTTTGCTCGGACTTTACCACTGCCTTCTTAGAGCCTCCCTTCCTGTCGCCTGCATTTAGATGGCTCCCGCAAAGAAGGGTGGCGAGAAGAAGAAGGGCCGTTCTGCCATCAACGAGGTGGTGACCCGAGAATACACCATCAACATTCACAAGCGCATCCATGGAGTGTGAGTACCGGGCGGTCGGTGTGGCCTGCGACCGCCTTCCGGCTCCAGGCTGTCACTCTAGAGCGTTGCTTACAGATTGGGTGCTTTAGAGAGCACGCAGTTTTATTCCAGTCTGACGGTGCGTGCATTGAAGGTGTGCGGGGTTTGGCTTGTACGGTAACCGGTTAGTAACTGTGCTTGACCTTGAGGGAACAGTACACTTTGAGAAGTTTGGTGGTGCTAAAACGAGAGTTTTTGTAATCTGGACGAGTAAAAGGTTGTAAAAGGAAACCCTCGGTGCCTTCATGCTGCAGAAAAGCAGCCGGTTACGACCTGCTCAGCCTCAAATGTGAAATAGGATTGTTTTCGTCCTCCGATCATGCATATTCGTGCTAATGCGGGGCCAGTTGTACTACTGGAGCTGGAAATGCTCAGAGTGTGGGTTTATAAAGTGGCGGTTACGGAAAGTAATTCCGGTGCTTAGACATTCCAGCTCTAGAGCTGAATTTCTTGGACTTGATTGTTCAGTATATTGGGACAGATTTTACCGGGTTGAAATGTGTGTCTGCACCTTATGGGTTGTCCAGTGTAAGGTCTTCGTCCTGTGTGCTTGTGGTCGGCCATGTTCCTTCCCCTATGGTTGGGGCACATCGAGCACTGTCAAGCACTGTTTAGGACTGTGAGAAAGTACATGCTCTACCCTCCAAGTTTACGAAGTGGGGGAATGGGCAATAAGGATTTTGTGTTGAAGGTGTTTGTGTTGCCCAGTATGTGGTGGGGAAGGGTAGCTCTAAGGTGAAAGGTACTCTTCAAAAGAAGCCTTAAGTAGACCATTGTAGAAGTGATATGGCTGTCTGGATGGTTGTGATTTTTTTTTCCAGGCCTTTTGTATTTTGTTGAAAAGGCTTTATATGAGAATCTCTAGCCACCTTTGGTAATTTCTTGGTCCCCATTGTGGTGCAAATCAAGCCTGCTCTGCTGTGCTCCACACCTGGCTTTCCCAGTTTCATTCATTGGTAATTCAGCCCAGTGCTAGCTCTGCCCTCTGAGATCCACTGACTGAATGAAGCCCGTTCCCTTTCTTTGATGGCAGCAGCAGCTTTTTCCAATTCTCTAACAATAACATTGAAATTGCTTAATGCTCCATTTCTTTCCTGGTACACCCTTCTTGGTTTTTGTAGTTGATACCTGACTGGTTGTTTGGATGAGTTTTTTCAAGCTAGATATGAAGTGGGTTATTGGGGGCCCTACAGACAGGCTAGGGGGTGGGTAGAGAAAACAGATGCTCTTTGTCTCACTTGGAGTGTTGGACAGACCTGGGCTTTTTTGGTTGGTTGGTTTTAAAACAATATCTTTATAGACTGTTTTGTTTTTTTCGATTTGAGAACTTCCTGCCCAGCCTCCGGTGTTGGGATCCTTAGTGTGCATCACCATGCCCTAGAAGGTTCGGATTTTTTTTAAAGATAGCCCCTATCATGTTGTACATGAGCGTGGCTACCTCAGTCCCATAGAATGTTGTCTTTGTGCAAGTGTTTTGTCTGAATGCTCCACATTGGTTCTGGAAGAGCAGAAATTTTTAACTGCTGGATCATCTCTGGTCCCCATAGAGATCTACCCCAACATTCAAGATTGCTGTGAGTAGGCCAGGATGGTGATTGATTCTCTGGAAAAGTGATCAGGACATCTTGGATTGTAGGATGTTTAGAATTTATCCCGACCTCCTAAGTACTGATGCTAGTTGTTGGTGAGAGGGTTCTTCTAACTAGTTTTAGGTTTTATGACAAGTCATTTGCATGTGTAATTTTTTATTGCTTTTTTTTTTTATATGCTTGTGTTCTGAACCTTAGGGGCTTCAAGAAGCGTGCTCCTCGGGCACTCAAAGAAATTCGAAAGTTTGCCATGAAGGAAATGGGGACTCCAGATGTGCGCATTGACACCAGGCTCAATAAAGCCGTCTGGGCCAAGGGAATAAGGTATTGAAGTTCAAATTTGATAGTTCATTACCAGATGTGGGGTAGAAAAGATACTGGGACAAGGCTCAGGCTAAGCTTGTGTCCTTTGTTGTAAGAGAAATGGCCGTGTCAGAGCTTGATGAGGTGTGGAAGGGCTCCATTGGATGAGGAAAAGGCAGTGGTTCTGAGCCTGGCAGGAGTCTTTTCCTGCTGCCCAGAAGGGTTGATTTATGTCATCTCCTGTATTGTTGTATAAGTGTGTTAACATGGAGGTTGGGAAGCTCCCTTTAAAGTGGAGTAAGTAGAAAGGTGGGGGGGAGTGCAGCTGGTGATTTTGCAACTGCCGTCATGGGCATACGGTTTGGGATGTGTTAGATTATCCTGCAGTGAGCTGCAGTGTGTGCCTTGAGGTGAGTGGTGTCACAAGAACATGGAGAAGTTTGCAGGGATCTGGGAACTAAATAAGCACCTAGCATGTCCAAAGATTATGAAGGAAGGAAATAGGTCAGCTTTGTTGCTTCTGAAGAGGGGGGTAATGTGTACCATTTGTTTGTTTGTTTGTCGAGACAGGGTTTCTCTGTAGCCCTGGCTGTCCTGGAACTCACTCTGTAGTCCAGGCTGGCTTTGAACTCAGAACTCCGCCTGCCTCTGCCTCCCAGGTGCTGGGATTAAAGGTGTGTGCCGCCGCCATCCGGCCCTTTTATTTCAATTAATGGCTGTATCTATTGGCGGTCATTTTCTGCTTAGGGACTATTGGTTACTGTTGGTGACTGCCTTGACATATCTTAACAGGCATACATCCTGAAACCAGCCTGTTGATCATTCACCTGGGTGTGTTTTCAAGGTCATAGAAGCTTGTTTATTAGGGCATCAGGGATAGATGTGAATGGATGCTGCTGGCATTGACCTTAGCAACACATGTTTTGTTAGGAATGTTCCATATCGCATCAGAGTACGTTTGTCCAGAAAACGTAATGAAGATGAGGATTCACCAAACAAGCTCTACACCTTGGTAACTTACGTGCCTGTTACCACATTCAAAAGTAAGTATCATGGTCTTCCAAATGAATTACAGCAGCAATTATTTGTTAGATATAGAAAAATAAAAAATTTGTCAGTTGTGTGCCTTTACTATGTTCAGTGAAAAGGTGAGTGGCAGGTAAAATTATCAGCCCCTCCTCAAACACGGCCTCGCTCTGGGAAGACAGGAGGCTGCTGTGGTGGGCATGCTGCCTGGGGCAGCATGAGTGGGTGCTGACTGGCTGTTACTCTTCCTTCCAGATCTACAGACGGTCAATGTGGATGAGAACTAACCTGCTGAATGTCAAATAAAGTTGCAGTACTGCCTCCAGGTTTCGGTTTTCCTTTTTGTTGTCTGCCCCATGGGTGGAATTTTTGGATCTAGGGAATTAATCTGAGAACTTCTGTTCTGGGAACGTGGGTAATTAGAAGTATGTGAAACATTCTTTTCACAGAAGTCAGTGTATTAGTTAGTTAGGATTGTGGGGGAGTTTTTGGTTTTTTTTTGAGATGGTGCTGCTTGTTCTGTCTGTAGATTAAGAGATTAAGGCTGGCCTTGAACTCAGAAGCCACCTCCCTAGTGTTGCAATTAAATGTGTGTGCCACCCTGCCCAGCTTGTTTGTGGCTTTTAACTACAAAGCTAAGGTGTTAGGTCTCATTTTTCGTGCAAGGTTGTATGTGAGCCTAAGATTATGGGGTAATGTACCGAATTAATTTATGTTGTGTGGGTCCCAGGAATTGAACCTGTGTTGTCAACCCTGGCTTTTCAGCCATCTTTGCCAACCAGTCTTGTTTTGTCTCTGGAATGTGTTGTGTGCCCTTAAGACAGCATTTTTTAAAAGTCAGTACAAAAAGAATGATTTTTATTAAAAACCTTGGGGACCAACATTGAAGGCATGGTTTGTACATGTTTTTGGAAGGGCATATAAAGTGAATATGAGATATATTAAATGGTTTCAATTACCAGCATTGAAACAAAATTAGTGCAAAAAAGCCGAATACAATTGTGCAGGCAATGGTTCTGGGGTCTTGGAGGTGAGCTTGTTTTTTGACCAGTGGAAAAATGAGCCTGGGGGTTGATGTCTCTTAGTTACGGTGGCATCTTTTTCTTCATCAAAGGGCAGACTCATATCAGGATCACAAACAGAAACACTGGTTTCAGCAAAGTTGATAGTCACAGTGTAAACAGGGCATTCCACCACTGGTCTGTCCTCTTGAGAATAAATAGAAATGTGTGAGACCTGCGGCAATTCACTCAGCCGTGACTGAGGTTGGTTATCCAGACTCAAGTTTGTGGAGTTCCCTGGTTGTAGGTTGACAATCCTTGCTTTGGTGTGGTCGGTTCCAGTGTGTTCTCCAGCAGCTTACAGGCTACAGGTTATTATTCAGCTTCAGTTCTGGCTGTGGTGGGTGGCTCATTTCCAAAACTTTGAGACTGTACTGATTGACCTTTGCATTTTCAAGTTTGGATTTAATGTTGAGTGGCTTTTCAAAAAAATTCACCAGTGACTGCTCAGTGAGAAGGGAAGCCAAGATGTGTTCAAGGGACACAGTCCAGTCCCCTTCAGTCTCAGGGAAGGCCTGTGGACTCTTCCCAGCCTCAGCAAAAACTGAGTCCTGTTCAGGAGGAGCCGAAGCCTGCGGCTCCTCACATTCTTGGGAGCAGCTTCCTGAACTGCTACCTCGCTGGCCTACTTCTCCGATCTGCAGCAGCAGAGTGGTTACTGTGGCAATGGCTTGATACAGATCATTTTCCTCTGGATCTTCATGGAACATACTATACAGAGTTTTACAGAACTGGATAAATTCTCTCTAGAATTAAAAGGTCACAGACAACAGCATGAGGATGGAGGTATGTCACACTATCAGAAAATCACATGCCATTTAATCTTTGTGCCATAGGAACTCAGTTCTAAGACTGTTGTAATCTGGGATCTTCCTGCCTCTCGAGTAAGCACTGGGTGACAGTTGTACCACTGGTGCCTGGCTGTGCAAGCAGCATATTTGGAAAGGTACTAATATCCCAAGCATTTTGATCAAGGGGGTTTCCATGCTGACTTTGGGTGGTGAAATGTCAGCTCGTGGGATGCATACATTGATAGTGATAAACACTGGGCATGTGGTACATGCCTTTAAACCCAGTGCTTAGGAGACGGGGAGGTAGAGTGAAGATACAAAAGTACCGTACTGTTCACTGATTTGGGTGAAATACGCACAGCTATTTTATGATGGCAAAACAGTAGGCTGATAATTGACAGGAACTTTTTTTAAAGAACAAATAGTGCAGATAGCTCTGAGGGACATAGCTATCACACACGTGAAAGGCTAGGAACTGCCTACCTGGCTTCATGTTCAGTTGGAATTGAAGTAAGGTAGAGGAATACCTGTTGGCCTTCATGCATAACTGTTCATGCCTTGGCCACACACATAGTTTTAAAAGTCAGTGAAGTCTTAATACAGGACCAATCACTCCTAACTTTAAGCCCACATTTCTCACAAATCAGCAGGAAGAGCCTTTTCAGACAAAACCTGCCTTCCTGTGGCACTCGTAGGTGTGGAAGACTGCCTTGTTTGCAACTTCCTGTTGTAAAGAGGTGACTGGAACACAGCGGTGTTATGGAAAGTCAAGATGCCTTACCTGACTCATTTTGGGCAACTCTTTCTCTGTTTTATCCTTTTCTTTGGCTAAATCCTTAATCATCTGCTTCAGTTGTTTCTGATAATCAATTGTATCACCTTGGCAAAGGGAAACAATAGTTTAGATTCTATGAATAAAATTGGGATAGTAAGTGAACAGGACCCCACTAAACAAATTGCATATAAAACCAAGAGGTTACTTTTTTTTTTTTTTTAAATTAAAGACTACGTATTATCTGTCAATCTTCTGGGGTCTTCCTGGTAAAAGAGGGCCCTAGAAAAAGATCAAAGCTGCAGAACTAGGTAGCTTAGTGGCAGTCAAGCCATGGACTTGAATGGTAAGGGATAAGGATAGGCTACTAGGAGCCAGTAGGGAAAACATACTCACCATTGGGTTTGCCCAATACCAGGGGCCTTGAGGTTGACAACAGAGGGTTCTTCAGTGGTGACTGGCTATCTCTGTCATTTTCAGTGAGTGCTTAAAAGAAAAATACTTAAATTGGACACATCTCTGATTAAAGAAGCAAAGTCTTAGTCATTACTGCCCAATCTTGTAAGGTTAGCACCTGTAAAGCTAAATGCTTTATTAGACACACATCTAACAAATTCATACACAGGCACTGCTGATGCTGACCTGGAAAACAGCTGATACTATAAAGAAACTGCAATTTACAATGAGCGCGTCATTAGTGTATTTAGGTGGTATAAATTGGTGGGATTGAGACTGTCTTCACGTAGCCCTAGTTGTCCTAGAATTCCACATGTCTCTGGCAGGCCTTGCTCTTCTCTTCGTCTCAGAAATAATCTGTGTTCTCCTTGTTCCTATTAAACTGCTTTTTACCATCTTCCCCAATCCCTTGCATCCATTTCATTTCCACATCTACCCTAAACAGTTTAATTATAGTATTGCCATTTCTGGTCTGTGGTCACCTGTGATATGTTATCTGACCGGGATTGCATACATCCTATTAAGGAGAGAAAGGCTCACAAGGTCTGCTCCTTCCTGAGGATTTGTGGGCAGTTAGTGGTTGCTGGGGACAGAAGAAACATTTTCTTCATAGTCTTGCTCCTGTAGATAACCCCAGCTATGCTCACTGAGTCACCAGAAGACAACAGGAGTTGGAGGGCAATGGAAGCATTACCACCTGCATGATACACGTGTATGAAGCACTTAATGTAAAATTCTAAGTGCTTCACACTACATTTTCTGGCAAAAAAAAGTTATCAGTGACTTAAGCACACAGACAGGCTGGTTAATTCACATATGGCTAGAGAAAAGCCAGCAACAAAAAAAAGGTCAGCAGTGCAGTTGAATTAAGGAAATTATAATTTGGGAAAGGAAAGGGGCTAAACAAAGGCTTGCTTTGTACACATGAGAACCCAAGTTCAAATCCTTAGAACTCATGTAGAAGCTGAGTGTATTATTGCACATCTGTAATCTCTGTGCTATGATGAGGTGGGATATGAAAAAACCCAAAAGTGAAATGTAAGGATGCACACTCAAGTCCTCTGACTTCAGTGAGTGCCTGTGCCCACAAGCATGTGTTGTGCTTACACAAATTTTGGAAACTGTTAGAAATGAAAAAGGCAGCTGGGCAGCAGTGGCACACGCCTTCAATCCCAGCACTTGGGAGGCAGAGGCAGGCGGATTTCTGAGTTCGAGGTCAGCCTGGTCTACAGAGTGAGTTCCAGGACAGCCAGGGCTACACAGAGAAACCCTGTCTCGAAAAACCAAAAAAGAAAAGAAAAAAAACAACTCAAAACTACCCACCACCAGAGTCAAAAGCATTGGATGTGACCAAGAAGGAATACTATTGGAGGTGAGAGACGAGGATGAGGAAATACTAAACATCAAGAAAGACTAAGTTTAAATGGCATGACTGTGGGCTGGAAAGATAGCCACTCTTGACTTGGGTTTTAGACCCAGTGCTCACATGGAAGCTCACAACTCCAGTCCCAAGAGATTTGATGACCCTCACCTCTGCCAAGTACCAGTTACACACATGGTACACAGGCTTACATATGGACCAAAAGTGAAGGTATGACCAAGCAACCAAATCCTAAGGATCTACAGACAAAAGATTAAGACTATAGTCTATTCAGTTAAATTATAGCACAAATTCTCTTAAATCTAAAGGGAATCGAGCCTAATATGTATTTAGAATTCAAAACAGACCAGAGAAGAGCTCTTTTTACAATCAAGATGTCAAAAAGTGAAGTCAAATAAAATCTGAGAATTTTCTGCAACCTGAAAAAGCCAGGAAAAATAATAGAGTTCTATGTCCTAGAAGTATTTAACAAAATTAGTAAAAATGTCTCTATTACTGAAACCTACACATTTCAATTAGTGTCCATCGATATTTCAATGATAAATGCATCATAGTACCTGACCTCAAATTCTCCACAGAGCCTGTGTCAAAATGAGTCTGATAATGCTGGCGGAGGGGTGTACATCTCTATAACCCCAGCACTCAGGAGGCAGAAGCAGGTGAATTTCCAAGTTTGAGGCCAGCTTGGTCTACACAGCAAGTTCCAGGATAGCCAGGACTACACAGAAGCCCCAGTCTCTGCATACACCCCCAAAATCAGACAAATGGAATAGGATATAAAAATAAGCTGACAAACTTCAAAGGAGTCTGAAAATGCATTGAGAGAAAAAGTGCAATCTCTTTAATTAGTAGTGCTGGGAACAGTGGCTATCCACTAAATCTGAAAACCAGCACAGTGGCTGCACAGTGATGACCTTGTATTGAAGCAGAGCCCAGACTGTCTTACCTGGGGGGATATGAAGCCTGTATAGCAGCTTAATCTTCTCATTCATTTCTCCATTGTACATAATGTCTGCATGATTGAAGAGAAATTAGGTGCAAATTAATTCCATTAGTCTTGGCCTAAGCTCAAAGGCCAAACCCTTGTTGAGTGTGTTCAGTACCCTCACATCCAAATGCTAGAGATACTGTAGGGGGAATTTGTGCTGTGCTTTTCAAAGATTGTGATCTTATGTACACAGCAAATCAGGACCACACCTTAAATACCTCCCATCCCTGAAGGTCATTAAGGGTGACTCTAGCAGGAGCCTGGAGAGCACAGAATGATTGATTGTATGGATCTGTCTGCCCTTGTCTTCTGTTCTCAGATGAATGCCAAGTCAGCTCACTACATGAAGTCATAGAGTCTAGTCATACCCAGACAGCTTATGAAGGCTTTGAATTCTATGAGCTGGTCCACATTGTCATCCAGAAGCCTGAAGATCCTCTCAGCGAGGATCTCTGTATGGGCCCCGCAGGTCCATGGTGATACCAACTGGAATAGGTGTGCAAACTGCCGGGCATCGATGCGGTACTGTTCAGCATAGGGCCTGCTGGGATCATGGCGCAGGGCTATGGGCCTGTGGTGCTCCCAGTAACAGCTCATCATGTGTGCTCTCTTAAAGCATGGGAGAGAAGAAAAGCTGTGTCATACAGTACCATTAGTGCCTTGGGAGGACATACACATTTAAAGCTGTGGCCTCCACCACCCTCTCTCTGGTCATTTTGCCTTAAAAAGTGCTGCTTATTGAGTGGCAGGGTGGAGCCAGACAGTTGAAAAAGCTGTTACCACTTTACTCCAAAGCCAGTAAAGCTGAAATTAAGCATCCCTCAATTGGAGGATGGCTACATTAGTGGCCATGTGGACGTGTTTCCTTTTTAACCTTGTCCATGGGAAAATGAATTCTGATTTCATTATGGAGTTTTTTACAGTGTTTAAAAATTTTACTCTTTGTGATAAAATATGACACAAAATTTATCATTTTGTCCAGTTTTAGATGTGTGGTTCAGCTATAGTTTTAATTATGAAGATACTTTTTATTAGGTTCACTAAAAATAGTCATTTGAAATCCAAGAAGGACACACAGAACTTGGAAGGAGCTGGTAGTAGTAGCTAGTAGGATAACGAAGGCTCACAGTGCAGATGCAGAAGCCACTAGCGCATTTTTATTTTCTGAGTTGTTTCTGTATGTTAACAACTTTAAATTTTAAAGAAATAGTACATTTAAGACCTAGGAATTAATTAAAAAAACTAAAGCATTCAGGACTTGCCTTGCCCCTTCATTGAGAGAATTTCAGTCTCTTGATAAAATTGTCACATGCATACAAAATCTCATTTGGCAAAAATGTATGTCTTCTGTCTTTAATGGGTCAAAACAAGTGCGGGCACTACAGAAGGCCAATGCTAGTATCATAGATACTCTAACAGTCCACATTCTGTAATGCAGGAGAAGGGGTCATCTGAATGTGTACACTGTGCACTTGTGTGTATCCATAGGCAGACATAATGTGGTGAAGTGAGTTTCCCTATTACTGTACAAGGAAGGGCCACAGCGGCAACAGGGTGGGCAGGCCACTTCCAATTTTTAGTTACAAGTTTTTTTTCTTTAATGGTGAGAAAGATGCAGACCCATAGAGGGAAGCAAAATATGAACTCAAATGTGCTCTGGAGCAAAATCATCCAGCATAGTGTATGAATTTAGCTGATCATTCAGAAAAATGTGTCCATGCTCTCAACTGGAGAGAGAATGAGACATCACAAGTCTGGGCGCAGAAATTCAAAGGGCTACTTAACATCAGAAATAAATGGTATCAAGTACCAATCATCATTCACCTCCTCTTTCTTTCTATGTGGTATTAAGGTTCAAGCTCAGCCTGGCCATGTAAGGTGAGCTGGTTGGTCTTAAATGTCAGCACAATCCAGAATCATCTTGGAAGAAACTTAATGGGGAATCTTCTAGATCAAGTTGGCTTATGGTGGGCAAGTCAAAGGAGACAGGGTGTCTTGATAATTGATGTAGGAAGAAGACCCAATCCATTGTGAGTAACATTTCCTAGACAGAGGACCCTGAACAACTTAAGAGAAAGCTAGCTGCAAGCAAAGAATCAAGGATGCAGTTACTCCCTTGGCTCTTGATTGTGGATGTGATATGACTAGCTGGTTGAGTTCTGCCTTGACCTCCCTAAAATAATGGACTTTAGCCTGGAACTATAAGCTAAACACACCCTTCTCTTATATTGTGTTGTTTTGGTGAGGATATTTTGTCATAACAACAGAAATGAAACTACATAGTACAGTAAGCATCACTGACTGGGCTACATCCCAAGGACACCACCCCCTTACAGGTATTTATTTATGTGTGTCTGTGTGCACATGTGCACACGGTGTCAGAGAACAATTTGTGGATGTAGGTTTCTACTTCCACAGGTTTCTGAAGCCAGCACTCAGCTTGATGGCAAGCATTTTTACCCACTGAGTTATTTTGCTAGTCCCTTGCCTTGGTTTGATTTGGTTTTTCCACTATGTGGCCATCCTGCTTAGTTTCAAGCTTGACCCTCCTGCCTCAGGCTCTCATGTGCTTGGATTATAGGCATGCACCACTATGCTGACTCCTCTTTAATTGAAAGAATGTTTAAAGCAGTCAATGAGAGACCAGGCTGGCAAATCCTAAGCCTAGGAACGGAGGATAAACTGAAGACGACATACTCTGTTGAACCTACTCAGTAATTATAAATCAAGGCGAGGAGATTCCTGTGTAATTCTGATTCTAAGGCCAAGAGATGCACCTAACACTCAACCAGAAGACAATGGTTCGATCCTTAAAGTGCCACACTATACAGAAGCTAAGTTATGTACTAGGCAGACAGACAGGTGAGTATCTCAGTTCCACACCAGGTAGGGAAACACAGTGAGAACCTGTCCAAAGACCAAAACAAAAAACTCAAGGATTAAAAAAACAGGGCTCTCTAGTTTACTATAATATTACTAGTTAAAAATAAACTGGGATCTGGATCAGTACACATGCAATAGGCATTATCTGTTGATAAAGTGTTAGGGTGAGAGATTAAATAAGTAAAAATCTAAAGGCTAACTAACTGTGCCCAGTTAGTGATGCATGCCTGTAATCCCAGCTGCTTGACACACGGAAGCATCACAAGCAAGAAGCTACCCTTGGCAACTTAGTGAGACACTACTTCAAAAAAAACAAATGTAATTTAAGTGCAATGCCCTAAAATGCCAACTAGAAGACATTGTACCCCAACAACGATAATAACACTGATGATTATACAGGATAAGGAAGAGTTGATATCACCAAGGGAAAATGTATGAAGCAGCTACAGACCAACCACTTAATATGGAAGTGTGTGTAACAGCTAGTACATGCTGAGGGGCAGAAGCAGGGGTAAACACCACCTTTTCAGAGTAGTCCCTGTCTACTCCAGACCTGGAATCCATGCTCACTAGTATACTGCAGAGTAGTGAACATCAGACCACAGTGCAGCAAATGCCTCTCTACCGATGCCTGGGCTGTCCTGGGATCATGCCAGCTCCTCCCTTCATGTGCCAGCCTGAAGCTGTACTCGGGGAAAACTGACCCACATATAAGAGGCACTAATCTGTTGACAAAGTGTTAAGGAGGGTTAAAGCTCTAGCCTCTGCTACCAGAGAAAAGGCAACTATTGGCCCTTAGGAGAAGGCACAGGCCCACAGGCAGGCAGGGCCCTTGTGTTAGGACTTGGCTCAAGGCCCAGGACTCCCTCCTAGATTTCCTACCTTGAATAAGTCATAGAGTTCCTCAAGGTCTTCAGGAAGAATGGAGACTTCTGGGATAACGACACGGAGCTTAGGGAGAGAATTAACAGTGGTGGAGTAAGATCCAGGCCTACACCCTGCACCCCTGCACTATCAGAGGAAGGTGGAACTTTCCCTCCTAGTGGGGGACATGGAGTACCCTTGTCTCAGTAGCATCAACTTCTCTCTATCACAAAATTCAGGTCAAGAAAGGTCTTTTGTCTTTAACCTTCCAATTTGCACACTATGTTCTGAGCCAGCCTGTTAAGCTCTAATGGAGGTGAAGACACCACAGAGACTTCAGGTTAACAGCTTCTTCTGAAAGACAACACTGCAGGCCATCTCCTATTAAACCATGGGCATTATCCCCACTTTATAACCATGGAAACTGAGGCTCCCAGTACTTAGCTGATCACAATTTGACTCTTAATAATTCATTGTTTCTATGTGATATTGTGGCTACTAAGTTTAAGTTCAGTGAGGGAAGGAAGCACTTCTTCCTATGTTTTATGACCACTGAGGGCCTCACAGTCTGCTGTATCCCATGAGCCCCATGGAGGTGCCCTCTGCTCACCACATTCTGCTTGGTGGTGTCCTCATGTCCTTGCAGGACCCTGATCCTGTGCTTGCAGCGTAGATGCTCAATCTGCTCCACAGACTGGTTTCCAAATTTCTGCATAGACACAGGGGCCTGCTGAATCCAGAGCTAATCGGAAGCAGCCAGAAACCCTCCTCCGTGACTACAGCCAAGGCACACTTTGGCTTCCAACTAGGAAGGGGCCTGGGAGGATGGAACAGGGGTTCCTGTACCTCATAGGAGTCCCGGATCAGGTCAGCAATGTCGGTCACAGGATAGGGCTCCTGGTCATCAGAGAAAAAGGCATGGTGGCTGCCAATGGGGGGCCCCGGGCTGTCTTCATTCTTAATGTGATCTAGAAACCTGAGCACACCTCCACAGTTAAAACCCATATCTACCCTCACTGGGAGAGCACTGGGCACAGGAGATCCCCGCACACTCTCACACTCTTAATATGGGATAGGGCAAGGCACCAAATACCATGGTCACTCCAGCAGAAGCAGGAAGCTTCCAAGTCAGGCTTGTGGACCTGGGCTCCATGCATTGCTAAGCCCCAAGACTCCAGTGACATCATCATAAACTGTGCCTACATGGTTTTAAGCTGCCACCATATTCTAAAAAGAAACTTATCTCCAAGACCCAAGGTCCAGGCTCAACCTCATGTCTTTTTTTTTTTTTTTTTTTTGTCACTCTAGCTCATTTACTGCTATACTAGTGGTTCTCAATCTTTCTAATGCTGTGACCCTTTAATATAGTTCCTCATGTTGTGGTGACACACACACCCCCAGCCACATTATCTTGTTGCTACTTCATAATTGCAATGTTGCTCGTAAATACTCGATACACCAGTATACCTGATAAGCAATCCTAAAGAGGTCAAGACCCACAGGTTGAGAACTATTGCTCTATACACAGTACTTGACATTTCCAGTTGGCTATCCATGTATCAGCCAGCATTTCCTGGTGGTCTTCAGTCCTGTTCAGCACTACAGTGATTCCATCTAAGATATTCTTAGAAGACAAAAGCATGTAGGGCCCTGTTCTCCTTGGACTCTCATTTGGCAGAAAGGAAGAGAGAAGATGGCCACCTTTGTAAGTGGTGGTGCCACATGACAGACTTATTCTAGGGAGACCACAGGATGACAGGAACAGAAAGCCTCCACAGATGTGGCACACATGCTATGGCCTCCCTCTGGTCTTCCTGTTGCCCCAGCTGCAACTTGAACCCCATTCCCCCATGACCCACAGGAGGAAGTAGCCAGAGCTCACCTGCTGAGGATCATCAGGGCCTGTCCGTCATCTCTGCTACTGCACAGTTCCTCTGCGTTGGCTTCCAGCACAGCCAGGCCCAGCTGGAAGATGGCCTTGATCCCATCGTAGAAGAAGCAATCGACAACATTCACAGCACTCTCCAGAGGCATGATGCTGAGAAACAGAGTCAGGAACCAGGATAGGGAGATGGACGCCAACGCTGAGAGGTCGCTCATGTGCTCTGCCAACTCTGGGAGGTGCTCCTTGATGAGCTCCTCAAATACAGACTGGTCCACCTGAGCCCCTGCAGAAGAGAGCAGGGAGCTTCTGTGGGAGAGACTCGCGCTTGCCAGCAGAGGGCTGAAATTAAGCTTGCTCTAAGGTAGTGTCATGAAACAAGAACTGGAGTCCAGAAAAGAATGTGTGCTTAGTTCACTGACTCTTGACATGTGACCAATGTAAAGACAAGTCTTTCCAAAAACCAGTGCTTAATCAGTGGGGAAAGGATTCTAACCCACCCCTACACACAGAGAAAAACATTAGAAACAAACAGGACCTAAAGGCCAATGCTCATAATTTAGAACTTCTAGAAGATAATTCAGAAATAAGACAGAATTATCTTAGGATATAAAAAGTACTGCCCACTGGAAGCATCAGAAATCCCATTCTTTGATGGGCAGTGGTGGTAGACACCTATAGTCTCAGCACTTGGTAGGCAGAGGTAGAAGATGGATCTCTCTGAGTTCGAGGCCAGCCTCATCTACAGATCGGACTCCCAGGATAGACAGAGCTATCCAAAAAAACCCTGTCTAAAAACCAATTCTTTCTTCAAAAGGAACCAGCAACAGAATGCAAACGTGAGTTTAACTACAGAAAATTTCATAGCACGTCTCCCTGGCACTCTCAAACAACTTCTGCAGCTTTATAAGAGCCCAATATCCAGTTCCCTTTTTAAAATAATCAAAAACTTGCCTTCAGATAGCAGTAAACACACAAATATGTTCAAAGCGATTAGTTAGCTGTGACATGCAAACTAAAAGCAACAGGACAAATACCATTCGCAGCACATGCTTAAGAGAAAAAGGACAAGCCCAGGTGTTAGCAAGGACTCAGAACAAGCTGAGGCTTGCACACTGCTGAAACAAAGCACTTAAGTCATCCAGTTGCATCCACCTGGTAAGACTGGTGGCCTCTTATTACCTAACACAGACCCCTAACCCTGTATCCACAATCCTAGGGAAACATGAAGAGAATGACATGAATATTCACTGAATATTATTTCATGAACTCAAACCGATGGCCACCTGAATTCTCTTCTGGAAATCAGTTCAATGGGAAGCAGCTGGGATCCCATGAGGGTCAAAGTGGGATGACCCACTCTACGTGTGGTTAGATTAAGGCTGGAAGGAAGACTCGAACACTCCCTTTCCCTGCTTGCCCTCTCTCTTGCTGACAGGTTCCACTCTTATCACTCCCCTACTGTGGCGTTCCTTGACTGAAGGCTCTAATGACATCTGAGGACCAGCAGCTCTCCAACAATCCTTCAGGTCTTCAGGACAAAATGGGGAATGTTAGACATTGGGCTTCAAGAAACTATTGGATTCTATGCCTCTCCACTGTGAGACAGTCACTCTTAGATTCGCCAGACTGTATCCTGTAAACCAGTCTAATGGGTCCTAATACACATTACTGTTCCTAGAGGGATGGAACTCTGAGAACAGTAACTAAGACAATGACTAGACAAGTCAACCATGGTATGAACCTAAAGACCTAGGTCTACAACACAGCGGAGCAAACTACCTACCTACCTACCTACACACACACGGTCACTGCAAGCTGTCTTATAGCAACACTTAGCAGCCACTGGCTTTGACAATGCTTCTCCCAAAGACACCACATTTCTTAATATTCTGCACACCTCCCACAAAACAAAGTGAAACAGGAAATGAACCAGCTGCCCACCCACCCACTCGAGCAAGGAGGAGAGCCAGGTGCCCATCAAGTGCACACATGTATCCAAAATAGCACACAGCCTGTGCACACATATCCCCCATTCCATTTCTTACTGCTACAAGCTGACAGACCCTTCAGTTCTTAGAAAACAGTCTTTAAAGCTTCCTATATGGGCCCTACAGCCAGCCAGCCACCAAATTCTCTATCTCCCTGGTTCTTTTGTTTGTTCCTATACTGACACCCTAATTTTTCTTTTTTTAAACTATGTTTATTCATGTGCACATGTGTGTGCATGTTTGTATATATGTGCACAAGACACAGAGAGACAGACAGACAGACAGACAGACAGACAGACAGACAGATCAGAGAGAGAGACAACACCAGAAACTATCTACCCAGGGCAGGCTGACCAGCTATAGCCTAAGACTCCTGCTAAAGTCAGGATACGGTTCAACCTTGCCCAGTCCTGGAGGGTTTTGTGTTAAGGCTTGGTTTCCAGGCGGTATTACTTGGAGGTAGGGCCTAATGAGAGGTGCTCAGGTCTAGCGGGGACAAGACAGTTCTCTCGCAAAGGCTGCAAGGAAAGGACCAAGCATGTTCTCACCTAACTCTCTGCTTCCTGGTTGAAATGTGGCCACGTGCTTCAACATGCATCCCTACCATGGAGCCCCCGCCTTCTCTGTGCATGTGCTGGACCCTTCAACCTTCAAAACTGAGCCAACCAACCTGTCTCTTAAGTGACCAGCACCAAGTAACAAAAAGCGGACCAATGTAAACCCAAAGAAAGCTTTGTCACCCTCTCCTGTGAGTGCCTCTGGCACTTGGTCTCCTCTGGCCTGGAAACCCAGAGCATCGTCTCTCCTTTTCCAGGCCACAGCACCTATGCAGTCTTTGGTGCTTTACACGGATGTGTTCCTCCGACCTAGAGACTTTCGGTTCCCTCTTGCAGATCAGCTATTTATTTCAACCAAACACCACAGGTATTCCATGGAGTTGCCTGATTTTACTTTGTTGGTACGAGAGAAGATCTCCCTGAGTTAAAAGCTGTGTATGTGTGTGTGTGTCTGTGTATGTGTGTGCGTGCACGTGCGTGCGCAAACTGGTTGAGGAGAGCAGAGGTGAGTTATGAACAGGGCTAACAATGACTGTCCTCCCCAAGCTCAGGTACCACTCTCCAGATACGGAGGAGGGGGAAGGGAAGAGGAGGAGGAAGAGGAGGAGGAGAATGAAAAGGAAGAAGAGGCAGAGGAGGAGGGAGAGGAGGAAGAAGAGAAAGAGGAATAGAAGAAGGAAGAGGGGGAAAAGGAGGAGGGGGAGGAGGAGGGGGAGGGGGAAGGCAGTTTACCGATCACCCGGTGGTTGAAGTAATCAGGCAGCATCCGCTCACACACAGCGACCAGCAGCCAGAAGGCTTCCTCCTCTTTGGCATACAGCAGCAACACAGAGGTCAGGATGTTCATGGACTGCATGGAGGGCCACAAAGGTGACCATTAGTGCCCAGACTACCTAGTGCCACAGGAACATTTCCAGCATGTGAAAAGCCCTGGGCTTGAACTACAAACAAAACAAGCCCAATCGATGCACAGGGGTAGAGTTTCCCCACACATAATGACAGCAGAAGTGGAATGATCCTGAGTTGAACAGTTGATCTACATTTGTGGTCAGCTGTAAGATAGCTTCAAGCTTGGGTCAATACAGCTATTTTCTGTACATTTGGACAACAGAGATACATGCATAGACTTTGACTACCCACTGGCTCTGTTGATTACTAGAAAGTTAAATCTTATATTTGCAAATGTCAGGGCTTCTAACCCAGTCTCCTGCTGGGTTGTTTGAATCCCTGGATTATCTTCTAGTGCTTGCTGGCTGCATCCTCCCACTTAGACCTCTCTTTCTCACTCTCAATTCCAACAGGAAAGGGACTGCCCCCATCACCCTTTCCTCCACCAGCACACTGCCGTGTCACCCCTATGATTTCTGCAACAGTCTCAATGATAGTAAGCCCACTCCATCTCCAGTGTGCATGGCACCTGCCCATGCTGACATCTGGCCCCATAACCCCCTTCACAGATGATTGGCCTGTTTGGCTGGACAGCAGTTTGGAATATCGATTCTGGGAAAGATGCTTGTCCAGACGGCTGGAGAAAGAGTGGAAGCCTGTGGTGACCATCGCACACACAATACACAATCCTCATGGCTCCATGAATGCCACCTTACCTGGCAATATCCAATCTTGGGGTTCCGGTGGGCATACGCTGTCAGCACCCGCCTCAAGGCAGCAATACCAGTTTCATTCTGGAAGGCAGGGTGCTCAGGCAGAGAGCGGTGCAGGTCCCTCTCTATCTCCTCTGTCACCAGACAGCAGCGTCCCAGCGACTGCTCCACCAGATTTCCATAGTACCCAGGGTGTGAGGCCAGGTCTGTCACAGCATCTGAGGAGTGGAGAGCAACATTTCAAAAGAACGTGGCTATCACGATCATGTCACAACAGGTGAGGGATGCATCAATAACTGCCATAAAACATTCTGAGGCCTTGCTACTGCCTGGTGGACTAACCCAAAAACAGCAACAAGAAAGAAAGTAGCTCTTCTAAGAATAATGCTCTCCAGAAAGGGGGAAAGAAAGATCCATTCCACAAACCAGGCAGAGTGCAGCTTTGTAACAAAGTACATCATTCTGAGCATAAGAAAGGCCTGGATCCAATCCCGAACACACACCTGAGGCAGTCAAGTTGTTAATATGCTTTTATATGTTAATATGCTTTTAATATGTTGGTGCACTGCCCAGATATACACAAGTCCACATACAATTGTCCTATGTTAATTCAACAACAAATTATTGTGTATCTCTGTGCAAAGAGCACGAGAAAGAACAACCCAGATTAAGGCTAACAAAACACTGGCAAGAACAGGCTGGCCTCCATCCCAGAGTCAAGACCCAGGCTTTGAGCAGGCAGGTGCTGAGTGACAGATGACTGGTGGGTGTGAGGAATCTGCTCACTCAGGGACCTGCCTCAAAACTCACAAGGTGGGCTCCGAGGGGACAGGGAACAGAATTGGTTACCATTCTAACAAAGGTTAGATAAGGTTTTAAGTTCTAAATAGTTATAGTAAAAACAGCCCTGTGCCTCAAGTCCCCTTTGCAGCGAGCAGCTGTGGTCCGACCAGCACACTGGCGATCACATGTCATGAGATGTTTCTCACATATAATGAGCTGTGGCTGGCAGTTGCTTGAATGGTTACCTCCTGCCAGCAGAGCAAACACTAGCACCAGCAGACAATCCCTCTTGACCCTATCCATTCCTGTATCCTGTGTAAAACAGTGCTACACAAGAAGTTTTAAAGATGAGGCCACCATGGTGTGTAGTTGACAGGCAGCTTCTGAAGACACGGGTGTAGAGAAATTTTAATTCAGAACATGGCTGCTCTGTGAAGAGATCACATCCAAAGACCTTCTAGGTCTGTGATTCAGCTGGAAAACAAACATACCTTTAATCCCAGCTGACAGAGGCAAGCAGATCTCTAAGTTCAAGGCCAGCCTGGGATAGAGCAAGTTTCAGGTAAAGAAAAGCTTAGGTCAACCTTTAATCCCTTAGTACACACCTTTAATCCCAGACAATAAAGGTAAAGTTAGTTTGTAGAAAGAAGCACCCATGTCTGACATTGAAAACCAAAGTGACGACACAGAGAGAGATCTGACAGAATAAGATCTGCCCAACTCTCAGGAGAAAAGAGAGGCTACTTAAGAGAGAACAGAAGGAGGAGGCAGTTTTAGCAGGACAGTTGTACAGAGACAGGTTGAAGAGAGACCAAGCTAGACACAGGTAAAGACAGAACGAGCCAGAGAATGAGAAGAGCCAGCAGACTGAAACAGGTTGCCAAAGTTAGTATAAGATCAAGCAGAGAAGCCAGACTGAATCAGTTTGGAGAGGAGTTAGAGCCAGAACAGCTGAGTTGACCAGCCAACCAGAATTTAGGAAGAGCTGGAAAGGGTGAGCTTATTCAGCAGCAAGTCTCAGAGGCTGAAAACATTCTAGGCCTAGATGAAATCGTACGGTGGCTAGAAGCTTCCAGCACCAGGCCTAGCTTAGCAGAAGGAGGTAATAAGCCTCGGAGACAACAATTATAGCTGAAGAATAAAAGTTACTATTACACCCTGGGAAGCTGCAGTCATGGGTCAGACAATAGTAGGAGGAGCTTGAAGGAAGATGGCCAAGGTTGGCCTAGACTGGGGCAGTAAAGTTGCTGTAAAGCATAAGATGTATGGGCGGGAATCTTGGACAGGAAAGGGGCAGGTCCAAACTGATGCAACAAGGAGAAAAGAGATAATTCAGGAAGGGGTCACTTGCTGTGAGGAAAGTCTGGAGAAGGCTCCAGCCTGAGTGTAGTGGTTGGAATGAGAATGGCCCCCATTAGCTCACATATTTGAACACCTGGTACCTAGTTGGTGAACTGGTTATGAAAGATTAAGAGGTGTGGCCATGCCAGAGGAGGTGTGGCCATGCCAGAGGAGGTGT